TTGCAGTAATTCCGCCCAATCAGTCTCTTCTCTCTCCACTACTCACTCTGACATTTCTTTATCATTTCTATTCTTTCTACTTGATTCCCTACAGACGATCTTATCTCTTTCCAATCTCTCTTGCAATAAACACTTCCATTTCCTCGTGGTCACCTTCAACATTTCCCTTATCATCTGAATTCTTTTACATCAGTTAAGAAACAGTTCATTACAGCTGTAGCTCCCATAGGGTTAGGAATGAACCTACGGCTGGCCAATCAGTGGGTGAAGCCAAATGAAAGAGAAGCTTCTGTAAACCCGTCCAACCCCCCCCCCCCTTCTACTTCTCATCTGTGAGAAGCCGACCCTGAAAAATGATTTTTATCGATTTCTAAATGAATTCCGAGAAAATCGGGGGACTCGACGTCGGCTGCCATCACCAAAGACACAGGTGGCTGGAGACCAACCCATGGCCGGTTAAAAATAGCGCCAACCCATGCCGCTGACCCAGACCCACGAGACGATCACGTGACCAAGGTAAGACAACCCCCCCACCCCATTCCCCATGAAGCTGACCTCTCTCCGGAGATCGAAGGAGGTCGGCATCAGCACCAATCAGACCCAGGACCTGTGAAAACGTCAGATTCCTAGAACCTTTTTTTATCGAAGGACTCCGCCTGGTTCTTTTCCATTACACTTTCCACAACTTGTGTCAATGCACGTTCAGATTCCCAGGTCACCCACCAACTCAATTTAGGTCCTTTAGCAGCCTTAAAAGAACTCTTAAAGTTATTTGGTCTCTAAGTTATTCCTTAAAGCACCAAAAAAAAGTTTTCTTGCAAAAGGTTTACTATATCTTATTCGCTTTTCTATGTCTTACCGTTTATCAACAACCATCCTTCTAAATCAAATTATCTGAAATCATTGCATATATCACTGAAAATACAAATCAGTAAATTTGACATATTAATACTTTTCGCGTTTTTACATCTATCAAAGTAAAGCTAAATTTGACTTTTTAAGACCTCGTGTTTTATATCTATCAAATTAATGCTAAATTTGACTTTTTAAGACCTTGTTTTATATCTATCAAATTAATGCTAAATTCGACTTTTTAAGGCCTGGTGTTTTTTATCCATCAAATTAAAGCTAAATTTGACTTTTTAAGACTCGTGTTTTATATCTATCAAATTAATGCTAAATTCGACTTTTTAAGGCCTGGTGTTTTTTATCCATCAAATCCATGCTAATTTTTTTTAAGACTTCTCGTGTTTTACATCTATCAAAGTAATGCTAAATTTGACTTTTTAAGACTTCTGGTGTATTTTATCCATCAAATTCATGCTAAATTTGACTTTTTAAGACTTCTCGTGTTTTACATCTATCAAAGTATGCAAAATTTGACTTTTTAAGACTTATGGTGTTTTTTATCCATCAAATCCATGCTAAATTTGACTTTTTAAGACTGTGTTTTACATCTATCAAAGTAATGCTAAATTTGACTTTTTAAGACCTGGTGTTTTTTATCCATCAAATCCATACTAAATTTGACTTTTTAAGACTTCTCGTGTTTTTATCCATCAAATTAATTCTAAATTTGACTTTTTAAGACCTTGTTTTTATATCTATCAAATTAATGCTAAATTTGACTTTTTAAGACTTCTCGTGTTTTTATCCATCAAATTAATGTTAACTACGAATATAAACAATCTATCAGATCTCCAGACTACTGCTCTGAACTTAATACTTAATAATTTCTAACTCCATTTTGCTGATCTTAAATTCATGCTTTGCTTAATTAATCTTAATCTTATGCTTCACGTAGTAGAGTACTATTGCTGCGTCGTAGAATACTATTCCGTTATCTACCCTTTCATAACCAGAGATAAACAATCACAATTTCTATATTACTTTCCTCTTCCATGAGATAACATTTTTTATCTGCATTCATTTCATATAGAGCGGAAAAGAAACAAATACATATCGTGCACAATCAGGAAAAGAAACCCTTTTTTTGCTACTTATATTGGAACACCGTACATGAACTTTCTGAACTACCCAGAGCCATAGTAACAATTCGTATATCCATCTATCTTAAAAAATAAATATAAACATAAATATACATTTTAAACATTCTATTCACCATATTTTTTACATTTATGGTTAGTGTTAAGTCTTAATTAACAGATAAAGAATTAATTTTGTAATGTATTTGTCGCAATGCATTTTTCAACATATACTTTACGTCTTTTTCTGACGTGTGCTCATCATAAAAGAGAGAGAGAGAGAGAGAGAGAGAGAGAGAGAGAGAGAGAGAGAGAGAGAGAGAGAGAGAGAGAGAGAGAGAGAGAGAGAGAGAGAGAGAGAGGGGGGGGGGAGGGAGGGCGGGGTTGCCAATTCTCCCTTTATATTCGCTTTTGTGGCAAGGGAACAGCCAATCAATGTCCAGATCTGGACACTTTCCTTTAAAAAGAGTGATTTTAGAGCCAGACGCTCGCTCGCTCTCTCGCATTTTCTCTCACCCCCCCCCCCCGCTCGCAGTGCTCGCGCTCTGTCTGTCTGTCAGTTTAACTCTCTCTCGCTATTCACTCAATATCTAATCTAAGTCTGAGTCTGTCTCTCTCTCCCTCTGCCGTAATAAATAAAATAAATAACTGAAGAAATCGCGTGCACGAAACGACATTGTCACACTGACAAGGGCGAGGTGTCGTCATAAGATTGTGCCGATTTCTTGTGATTGTGACGATCTCTCTCTCTCTCTCTCTCTCTCTCTCTCTCTCTCTCTCTCTCTCTCTCTCTCTCTCTCTCTCTCTCTCTCTCTCTCTCTCTCTCTCTCTCTCTCTCTCTCTCTCTCCGCTTCGACTTTCAAAACAAAAGAAAGCTTGGCTGTACCTTCGCCTCCGCCGCGGCGTGGTTCGCTCGCGGCCCGGCGCGTCGTCGGCCTGGAGTCGCACCTGCTGGAAGCGGTCCAGGAGGTCGCCCTCGTGCCACCACTCGGCGTCGGGCTCGACCTTGGTGGTGACCGCCGGAGGGCAGCCGTGTGCATCCGAGAGGCAGCTCGCCGTTGCCGACGACGCCGGCGGGGAGAGGTGCTCCCGGCTCAGGTAACGCAGGAAGCCCCGCTGGCGGGGCACAGCCCTGAAGTCGTCGTAGGGCTGCGCCTGGTGGTGCTGCGGCTCCTGCAAGCTGGACAGCGGCCGCGGGTACAGGCGCCTTTCGAAGCCCGCCCCGGGAGGCTCCCCTGGATGCGGGTGCTCGTAGCCCGAGTATTGCTGAGGTACGGGGTAGCCCTGCCTGCGGGGCTCAGCGTACCCTCCTTGGGTGTCCAAGGGCGATGCCATGTAGGAAGCGTATGCCACCTGTTCGCTCAGGTGCGCGGGCCTGATCCCCACGCCGGCGTGGGGGCCCGCGAAGTGCCCTGCGTTGTGCGCATGCGACATGTGTGCCGCTCCGTTGTGCGAGCCCGCCACGGAGCCCCTGGTCGCCTCGTGGCCCCCGTCAGGAGGACCCATCATGTGGTACCTGGAGAACTCGGCGGCGGAGGCGGCCCTTTCCTTCGGAGGCACCAGGCTGCCCCCGTCCTGCGCGTGCGGGAGGGGCATCCGGCTGTGGCATTCGGGGTGGACTCCCCCGTCGTGAGGGGCTGCGGGCGCCCTCACGGCGAAGTCGTTGTAGCCGCCGTAGCTCGGGTGGGCGCCCGTGACGGGGTAGGGGTACTGGGCGACAGGCATTGCACTTCACTAGCTGGCCTGCACTATAATTAACACTGCACTCGGCAAATGCACTCGCAAGTAAACACTTTTAGATAACTTTGGATTATGTTCTAATATATCTACGTATACTTTATTTCTATATATATATTATGTAACTATGCCTTATATATTCATCTTCATATATATATCTTGCCTTACACTATATTAGTAACACTGCTGACTCCGTACGTATGTTTAGTACGTAATATATTCCTGTATCGCAGATGCTTGCTCGCACTAGCTTCCTATTCCCTATGTTAGCGTCGAAGCGGACTACATGCACTAAAACGGGGCAGCACCGCGCGTGTTGTCCGTCGGGATCCGTTACACGAGCACCTCGCCGAGAGCACCTCCAGGATGATCACGCAGGCCAGAGCGCCGACGGCCTGAGTGCATGCTGGGGGAGGGGGAGGGAGGACGGGGCGTGGACGGGCGGGGGGGCAGGGCAGCGTTCAGGGCGAGGGGGGGGGGGAGGCAGCGTCCTTTTTCAGGGGGGCCGAAGAGGAGGAGAACGGAGTCCTTTAGGGGATGGTCGTGCTGGAGAGCCACTGGAACACAGGTGGTGCTGCTGAGAGCCAAGCCTCGAGGACGACTGGCTGACCAGCGCGCGAAACCTCCACGTGGGGGTTGCCAGGTCTACTGGTGCGTAAACCCTGATCGCGGAGGGACAGTGAGCCAGTGTGCGAGAGGAGGAGGAGGAGGAGTTGGAGGAGGAGGGGGCGAGGGCACCACTCAGGCACTGCTACGAAGGGGGGTGAAGGAAGGGCCCAGCGGGGGAGAGGGCAGGAGTGGGGGGCTCTCCGCCGGGGAGTGTCTTATCCTTCCCACGCGGACCAATTCCAAACCCGCAACGACCGCCGCCTCGACTGATGATTCTCAAACTAAACAGTCCAACTGATGTTGTTTTCTGATTAATGAGCGAGAGAGCGGTTCGGAACAGCAACACTGCCACGCTATTGGCCATTTCCTACCCAGGTCTTGCATGGCAATTGGCTGACCACTGGCTGGCCCCGCCTCCTAGGGCACAGACCGCGGCCCTACCCACATGTTTGATCTCCCCTCCTCTTTACGAGCGCCGGCCTATCTCGAAACAAAAGCACGCCAACAAACTAAATAAAACCCCGCAAATGAGGCAGACGAGCCCCCGACACGAGACGGGAAATAACAGCACAAAAGGGCGAAAGCGAGAGAACGAGAGCCGTAACAGCCCGGCGAGTACTCTTGCATCGCCAATCCCGGGGCGGGGAGCCTCTGACGTCACGGCGACGCGGCAGTAATCACCAAGTAAAGGGTGAGCGCCGAAGGAACCTCCGCGCAAGGGGAAGGCTGTAACCCGAATCGACGCTCACTTACCTCAAGACGTCTCCCAAAGCCTCTCGGCTCGCCTCTCTCTCGCTCTTCTCTTCTCCCTCTTCTATCCTTCTTCTGCTCTCACTTACTCTGTCTATATCTCTTCCTGTTCTGTCTGTCTGTCTGTTTCTTTCTCTTTTCCTCCTTTTATCTCGCTCTCTTTCGCCCTCTTCTCTCGTTCCTTCTCCCTCTCCCTCTCCTTCTCCTCCCTTCTCCTCTCCTTCTCCTCCCCTTCTCCTCTCCTCTCCCTCTCCATCCCCTTTTCATTTCCTCTCCTACCCTTCTCCCTACTCCAACCCTCCTCGTGAGACCTCAAGCCCTTCCGAAAATACTCCCCAAGTGCCTCCTGCAGACGGCCCGCTGATTCGCTCGCCGAGGCCCGAGCAGTAGCACTCAAGGGCGTGCTTTTGGGGGCGTGCTTGGCTACCGGGCCGCCCCTCCCCAACCTCGTGCACAGCGAGCCATTTCGCTATCTTGTCATCGCAGTGCAAACACGTCGGCACCCTCTCGAAGACAAAGCCAAGCCTCCCTATGCAAATGATACTCATAAAGATAGATTTAAACGTTCCAATACAAAGCGCGTCCTCCCTCGCATCGCACGGCCATACAGAGCGACCCCAAGGCTCTCATTAACGACGCCACACATTTTCCGGCTGCCTGAAATGGCCGAGACTCCGTGGCGATCACAGGCATAACTGGGAGGAGGAAATGCCGCCCCGGTCATCCATCACATCGATGCCCAGACGGAGAGACATAAAAAACAAACTAACTAACCACGAAAAAAACAAACTAACCAACCATAAGAAGCACAAACCGGATCCTCCTAACACCTAGCCAGATCAAAGGAATTCTAATCCCAGCCAGGCCTACGGGCGAGGACAGTTCCCACTCGCGAGCCAGACCCCCGGCCTCGTGCGGGCGGCGCAGGCGTCGGAGCGCACACAGCAGGGCGCGTCCGAGGCCCGGGACGCCCCTCGCCTGGCGCTGGTGCCTCTCGCCCCTGCCCAATCACGGCGGCCTCATCGGGCGACGGATCCTGGTCCTTCTTGCGACGGAGACCTGTGTGAGTGTGTCACGTGTACGCATCGTCGAGTCCATGTGCGCGCACACACATTGGTATACGTGTGCGAAGGCGTATGTTCGTGCGCGTGTGCGTTTCTGGGCGCTTGATACGTGCCTGCATCCACGTACGTAATGCGTGCGCTGATTCCTCTTTGCTCGCTAAGCCTATATTACATTTTTTTTTATCGATTCCTATCTTTCTGACGAAAAACAAAATATTCTTAAACATCATAATCTTCTAGTATTTACCTGTACAAATTCGACGGCATTTCTATGACATAATTAAAAAAATAATAAGAACTATAAAATAAAGTAAAACCTTTCCGATGATCATTTTGAATAAAAGTTTTGTACACATCATAACATCAAAGTATTTACATGTACACATCCGGAGGTAATTCTACGACAGAATAGAAAAATCAGACATTTCTACGCCTTTAAAAAATGAAGCCAAACCTTTCCTATGATCATTTTAAAAACAAAAACAACACCCACCGGCGTCGCTTTGGTGTGTTCAGCTGTTTTATTCAACGGCTTAACGCAATGTCATTTGTTTTCAAATACATTTTTTTTTCGGAGAGCCAAATGTAGTCGCAAATTTAAATAAATAAAAAAATGATAATAACAATAATCTTTCACACAACGAAGAGACAGCCAAGCATTCACACACGCACGCGATCTGACACAACATATCTAAGAGAGGTGGCAAGTGACAGCCGGGGAAACTAATAAAGGTATGATATGATGATTATCTTCTCAAATGCGACGCCAAAGTGATCAAAGCCAGCGGGAGCGAGCGGCCGAGAGAGGTGAGGGAGGGAGGGAAGAAGGGAAGGGAGGGAAGGGAGGGAAGGAGGAAGGGAGGGAAGGAAGGAGGGATGATGAATAGTAGGAAAAATGGAAAGTAGAGAGGGTGAGGGAGAGGGAGCGGACGAGTGAGAGGGGGAGCGAGAAAGAGCGAGATTGATAGACAGACAGAGAGAGAGAGAGAGAGAAAGGAGCCCAAGTAGAAGAAAGAAAGAGAAGACGCCTCCGTCCAAACTCCAAACGGCAGAGTCCACACCCCAGCGCCACCTCCTCCTCCCCCCGTCGGCGTCCGCTTGGCGTCGCCCCTGCTCCCCGACGGCGTTCCCGAGCGGCGTCCCCTGCTGGAGCTCGGCGAAGGACGCCATCGCGGGGCTTACTGGAATCCGAGGTTGTCCACGACCTCGGGAAGGGAGACATAAGGGGGAAGCGAAGGATGGATAGGAGGAGAAAGGAGGGAGAAGAAGAGAATAGGAGAGAAAGGAGGGAATAGGAGAAAGGAGGAAAGGAGGAGAAAGGAGGAATAGGAGGAATAGGAGAAGAAAGGAGGAAAGGAGGAGAAAGGAGAAGGAGGAGAGAAAGGAGGAGACAGGAGAAGGAAGACAAAGGAGGAAACGGGAGGAGAACGTAGGAAAAGGGAGGGGAAAATGAGGAGGAAAGGCTTATGAAGGAGGGAAGAAAGGGAAAATATAAGGACAGCAAGCGAGAAGGGACGCCAATGACACCGCCAACAGGTGGAGAGGGGGCTAGGGGTAGGGGTAGAGGGGGGGGGAGCAGCGCGTCAGTCATACGAACGGCAAACGGGCGGAGAAAAGGTGAGCCACGCCCATCATCTCCATTCTCTCCTTCCGATGTCTTCACCCTCGGCAGATCTTTCCCCGTCTCTATCTCCCATCTTCTATTCCCCTTTTCTTCCCCCCCCCTCATCTCCTCCTTCCATTCTCTCTTGCTTTCTTTCTTTCGTTTACTGTAGACACGTCTCTATCTCCCATCTTCTATTCCCCTTTTCTTCTCCCCCTTCCATTCTCTCCTGCTTTCTTTCTTTCGTTTACTGTAGACACGTCTCTATCTCCCACGTCTCTATCTCTCATCTTCTATTCCCCTTTTCTTCCCCCCTCATCTCCCCCTTCCATTCTCTCCTGCTTTCTTTCGAGTCCCGCTTTCCTCCGTCCGTCTCCGCGACCGTGGCTTTGGCAACGTTAACTCAATCATAACATCACCGCGGTCACCTTCGCCACCCTCATCGTCACCTTCATCACGATCACAACCACCTCATCCTTCTCCTGCTCTTCCTCCACCATCACCATCATCCTCACCACCAACACCACCATCGTCTTCCCCATCGTTAAAATCACCACCATCACCACTACTCATAACACTCATTACCCTCCATCATCATCACCTTCACCATCACCACCATCATCATCATCACCACCATCATTATCATTATCATTATCTCCTCCTCCTCCTCCTCCTCCTCCTCCTCCTCCTCATCATCATCATCATCATCATCATCATCATCATCATCATCATCACATCACCACCACCATCACCACCACCATCATTATCATTATCATTATCATTATCATTATCCTCCTCCTCCTCCTCCTCCTCCTCATCATCATCATCATCATCATCATCATCATCATCATCACCACCACCACACCATCACCCACCACCATCACTCATCACCATTATCATATCATCATCCTCATCCTCATCACCATCATCACCACCCTAAAGACTCCGAAATCAACCCAGGTGTTTTGGTCTCAACTATCCTCCAGCTTTCTCCGCGGCCCCCACCCCTCCCTCTCCCCTCCCCCATCCAGCCCACCATGCGCGTCCCTGACCCGTCTTCCTGGCCACTTTTCTATTTCTATTACTTCTTCTTCTTCTCCTCCTCCTCCACTTTCTTCTTCTTCTTCTTCTCCCTCTTCGTTTTCTTATTCTTCTTATTTATTATTATTATTATCATTATTATTATTATTCTGCTTCTCCCCCTCCACTTTCTTTTCTTTCTTCTTCTTCTTCTTCTCCACATTCTTCTTCTTCCTTCCCTCTTTTCGTTTTTTTTCCTTCCTGTTCCACCTTCATCTTCTCTTCCTTCTTCCGTCTATTCTTACCGTACATCCGCATTTCTAAGTCAGATGAGGACTATTGCTATTACTATGATAATGATAATGATGATGATGATGAATATGACTGATGATATTGATACTGAGGACGATGATGTGATGTTTGATGATGAGTATGACTGATGAATATGATTGTTGATGATGATGATGATGATGATAATGACAGATGAATATGATTATTGATGATGATAATGATTTATGAATATGATTGACGATGATTAATGAGACTCATACGATAACTGCGATTGGAAATGTTCGAGAAATTGATGACTGATGACTATGACTGCTGCTGATGACGACGATGACAAAGACGACAACGGACGGCGATGATGATTATGACAATTATAACAGGAATATCAAAATCGAAAGAAACACTAATAATAATGATCAAAATAAAACATCAGAAACAACAGCAAGAGAAGGAAGAAAGAAAAAAGAAATAAAACAAGTAATGATGAGAAAGAAAAAAAGGGAAAAGAAAAAAAAGTAGAAGTAGATATAGTAGTAATAGAACAAGAAGATGAAGAAGAAAAGAAAAAAGAAGAAGGAGAGGAAAAAAAGAGGAAGAACAAGAACAAGAACAAG